TTTTCAAAGCAAATCCATTTTAAAACCATAACTTTTCAATGAAAGGATGAATAATTAGACACAAAGTCATGTTGGCTGTGAGTAAAGAAGTTGTGACTAATGCCTTTTATAAAAGCAGGTAAGTGTATAGTACATTAATGATGACCTTATGACTTTTTGACCTTGTCAGCACATAGACTTGGAAATAAATGTGTTACACCCTCTAAATAGTTCAGATTAAGCTTGTCAATGTTTCTCATTGACCATATTTAGCATTTTATTATATATATATATATATATATATATATATATATATATATATATATATATATATATATATATATATATATATATATATATATATATATATATATATATATATATATATATATATATATTTATTATTTATTAGGCCTGTATACAGAATTCTATTAATGCTCCTGCAGGGAACAAATCACTTTGGAACAAATCGTAAATGCTGACTGCTCAGTTGTAGGTGAGACTCCTGGATGGATTTATACAGGGTGATTTCACGACAACTTAACAGATCACTTCCTTTTTGGCTACAAATCCCTCATTGAATGAGAGTTAGAGTCTAATAAGAACAAGAAATGGCCCTTACTGTGGAAAGACTAACCTATTCTAAAACCGTTGCTCTCTTAGAACAGTTTGTTAATAGTTTTGCACAAAACCAATAAATAATTAAATAAATAATGGGATTATCGGCCACCCTTATCACACATATTAATTCATCCTTAATTTTTTACATCATCATTAAGGTTTCCACTGTAAGTTAATACAAAGCATATATTTAAAAGTGCTTTCTTACTTTATTTTGTGATATCTGATCAAGAGTTGCTTATATTTATTACAAGCTAAAAATGAATTACATCATACTTTGCAGATTACATATGGTTTGAGCAGTTTGTGGGTTTTAGGGCTTTCTTGCCAGTAAGTCTACCTCAGATGGCAGAATTTCGAAGCTACAAAAAGCTTGAAACTGATTGTTTTATACTGAACATGCAAGAAAAAGAGAACATATAGCTGCATAAATCAGTAACGGTTAAGGTTGTTAATTCATGATATGTGATTGTGTTAAATATTTGATTTAAAGTAGCGCTGAACAACAGTTGTTCTGGTTCCTTAAAAGCAGAAAAATCCTCTTTTGCTTAAGTTTCAAGGTTTGGATTATTCACTTATTGACTTCTACTGCTAATGTTTTAGCAAACCTCAGTGAATTTTCCCATTAACCATCCTTTGTAATTTGGGGGTTAGGGGAATTCTTCTCAGTTTTGTTTCATTTTTAAGCATCACTGCTTCAGAATAAATTATCCATGGCTGATGACTGTTAATCTGTCCTATCCTGACAGTTGCAAAAGTAAAAATTTCACCTTCACTTCCTAATCGTTGTAATCCTGTACCTGAAACATTTGCACCTTGCTGAAAATGACCTGTAAGGAAAGAACATAAGGGATTTCTGGATATTGATGAAGGTAAAAACTAACCTTCTGGTTTACTCTAGTAGATTTCCTTACTAATTAATCTGCATTGTATTATTTTTAATTGGTGTTTTCAAAACTACAATTTTCAGTAAATCTTTAAAATCTGTGTTATGTAAAAAAACAAAAAACAAAAAAAAAACGTTGTGGATGTATTTTTTTTTTTTCTGCGGTCATGATCTGATTCACAGTGTTACCAATATGTATTTGGCCTTGCCCTTTGAAAGGGGCTATTATTTTATCAGCCGACTTGCACAGTCAGCACAGTCATAAAAATCCTGACTGCAGGAGAACATCTGTGGAGAGTCCAGGTAGATAGTTGGTACAGATGATGAAAGTGATGTCACGCAGGGTTTATGATGTTGCAGACAGTAGAGAGTTCTTGAAGACGTGATTCAGGAGCACTGGGTTTGTGTTATATCTTCAGGTGTTCAGCAGAACCACTATTAAAGCTGGTGCTTTCTAATTTCATCCTACTGATACACTAATCATTGCAGCTCTTTCACTGGTCAGACGTTCTTAAGAATCATCTGTTTGAACCATTCCTACTGAAAACATCTTTTTATAAATCTGAAGCATAACATGCAAGGTTGACAGCAGAGTGAGAGCAACTGCATTCTTACTTCTCCCTAACACCATTCCTCTGCACTGGAGGTGCCAGCAGTTTGCACACTATGCAGGGGACTATCACTGAGGTAAGGCATCCAGGACTCTTCTGGAGAGGAAGCATATCAATCCAATTTTGCAAGCTTTGGGGGAAGAAAAAAGGCTGAGCAAACATGAAAGGTAGAGAAGAAAATCCTGGCTGAGACCCCACACGTCTGGTTTGACATCCGGGCAGCTGACAAACAATTAGGCCTTCTATAAGTAGTACTCTGAACCAGACTTGCCTCAGGATTAAACCCCAAATGAGCTTCACATCATGGCTTATGTCTTCTAAATGGAAACTGAGAGTATGTGTGTGTGTGATGGTGTGTGGAGGCAAGCTTTCATACTGTATGTGATGCACATGGTTAGGGAGCAAGTTTAGTGTGTAGGTGTGTGTGGGCTGTGTGACATTCAGCAGATGGATGTTATTATCTGTCCCTGGCCTATCTTGGAACACCTCTCTAGGAGACTCTGTGTGTATGTGTGTGCACAGAAGAGCTTTATGCATGCACATAGCTTCATGCAGGTGTAGACTAATGTACTCAAATCTCCATATACTCCGCACATGCTGCACCGCTCACTTAACTGCTGCGTTATTGCCTGTTCTCCATTGTGTGTACGTTTGACATTTCATAATTGCATCATTACTTGCTCAGTGCATTGCAATTTGCAACACACGCTTCAAGCAGACAGACTCTTGCCCTTGATTATGGACCTGAGTGGAATGGGGTTCCTCATCAGGCTGTCTTGATTCGCCCCAGCATGTGGGGAGACACATGCTGCTGTGGGTGAATCTAATTGATTGGATGACACCCAATTCCCAGGTCCAAGTCTCCTCAGGCAGCCATCGTTGGATCCGTCCAAGTGAAGGATGAGCTGATGCGTCAGTTTCCCTGCTAATAGATTGGCATGTTCTTCCTCCCATATGCCTCAGATGTCTCGGAGGGCAGTATGATCACAATGCAGGGCACAAAGTGGCATTGTCACTGATTAGAAAAGTGTGAATGCAGTGATATTTGGAACATCTGATACCAAACTTCACGTCCAATTTAGCCCTGGTATGTGGGCACAGCGAGAAAACCCCCAAAAAACAAGAATATATTTAAGGTTGGATTTGCATGTGGACCACGCTTCAGGATCACAATGGATTTGAGTTGCTAATGGCACTGTCAAACCTTGACGATTTAACCAGCGTATGCTGACATACAAGAAATTTGGCAAAAACGCTGGCGTAAGTTGGATAATTTACTGGTATGTTTTGTATAAGTTATGAGTACGCTGAAGCACGCTGGCACACATCGACATACGATAAGTATGCCAGCGTATGCTCATATGTGGGGCATAAGTTACAGGTAGGTTATCTGATCGTTGACGCATGTTAATTGGAAGTTACTCATAAGTCTGGGTGTCTAGCTTATCCAACCTGTATCATCCCCATCATTCGGTCAGTGTGAAAGTTAGTGCAATGGATCCTCCCTGCGTTCACGGCCACAATAAACAAACTTCCTAGCAGACATGATACTGAATCTGCTGTTACTGCAAACCTCCTTTCTTTTAAATTTTTTTTTGGCAGGAGGTAAACAGCAGCTAGGTTAAAACTGTGACTGCAAAGTTTATAGGAATCTTCTCGTGCTTTTTATGCAGGCCTCAGGACACTAGCATGTGACATTTCATGGGCATTATGCAGCTGTGCGTTATGCATAATTTAGGCTGTTGCTGGACATAAGTTCTGGACTTGTTATGAATACTCTATGTATATGCACAAAATTGAAAAAATACATGGAAAGTTCAGTGTATGCCAGCGTTTTAGAAGATTCTGGGACGTCAGGCATACACTGGCTAAATTGTCAAGGTGTGACAGCGACATTAAGGGGAATGCAATCAAAAAATATCCACACTAACCTTATAAAAAAGCAGACAAAGCACACACTGTTAAAGAAAGATTGAGGACAGTCAAAAACTGGCAATAAATTCCTTACCTGGATCAAACGTGTTGAGTTTACTAAAATCAGCAGAAGACTACTTTTGCAGGGATACTTGTCAGGCGGAAGCTGAGATTCCACTTAAAGTTCGGGTTGAAGGCTTTTCTCCAGAAATGTTTTTCATGTAATGTGACTTTTTAAATATTCAGCACCGGATCTCTGTTTTGTCAGCCATCACTGTTCAGGTGAGCCACTGGAGGACCAAGCATCTGCTCCCGCATTGCAAAATGATGTTCCACCTGAGGAACACAAATATGGCTCACTTTGTATTGATTTTGATGAAAAGACTATCTAAACATTTTTCTGTTAATATTTTCTAAATATATTTATTAAAATTTTCCTCTCCTTTGGAAACCAGATAATCTATTTTAAGGTCCACAAAATGCATTGAATTTCAGCTTTAGGAACTGAATTTATGGTTTCCAGTTTTAGTCATCACCCTGTCTTTTATATGATCCATTCAATTACACAGCACTCCCTTTTACATTTGTTCATAATAATAAGGATTTACATGTTGTTATATCTTATTTGGAAAAAAAAATATTGAACTAATTATTAACGTTAATAAATCTGCTCAATTTAAATTAGTACAAACATTTATATATATTCAGTCAGGCAAGCAGACTGGACACTAAGAACCTGGCAATATTGTAAAGCCCTGTTCCAGCTGCATAAGTAAGAGTATGCTGTGACTAAATCTGTGATCCTATGAGGCCATTTATAATGTAAGCTGCAAAGGTATGGCCCCGTAGATCACAGCTGACATTCACTGTGTCTGTTTGTATGCTTTGCTTCAACTTGTTTGATCTTTTCCCAAACATGTTTAAAAAAGAATTATAGAAAACAGTTGGCATTTAGGGAGGGGTTAACTCGGAAATGCTTGTTTCAACAGGTCACGCTCTTTTCCCTCTGAGAACGCAAGTGCCATTTTAAAGCTTATTGGATGAAAGTCTCATTTACCCCTGGCTGCCAAAGATGACGCTGCCATGGAAACTGCTTATATTGCTATCAATCATCTACAGTCTGACAGGTAAAGCACCTTTTCATATGAATGATGATTTTTTTTTTTTTCTGTCCTTTGGACATTCACAGTTGTGGTATAGTGGGTGAAGAGATGTCAGAGATGATAGGAGGCTCTGGTTTAAAGGAGTACTCATCAGTATTGACTTCCATTCACACCACAGACACAATACTCTCAATCTTCTTCCTCGCTCCACTGAGATTATAACCCGATGGGGAGATATGATGCTTTTATTCTATAATCTTTTCCTGGGCAAAACATTGAGTGAAAGCTTTCCACTTCTACCAGTGAAATACATTGGTAATAAAAGTCAGAATGATTCTTTTCTCTAAGAACAAACAAAAGAAATTACTCCTTAGTCCTTCTTTGATATATTTTGCAGCATTGTTCTCTGTTTAGATGTAATTTTTTTTCTCTTTTATGTAAATTTATAGTTTTATTTTGTTTATTCACGTCTGAAGAGTGTATATTTACAATTGAAGCAACAAAAAAAGACATGCTGATTTAATAATGCACCCAGATCTGGAATATATGGAACTTTTGGATATCACTTCTAATGTTTCCTAATTTTTAAACTCCAATTTATGTGTTTTTCAATGTTGTCCATAAAAACAAGCATAAATGAGCAATGAAATTGCCATATAGTGTAATCTTCTTTGTACTCAGCCTGTTTCTGTTTTTCTGAAAGACTGTCTGGACAGTGCATCATACCATGGTCCACGGTGGAGGATGGAGCCTGCGGACCTGTTTATCCCTGTAGACTCCATAGAGGAAGAAGCCACCCTTACATGTGATGCTAAGGGAACACCTCCTCCTCAGTACAGGTAAAAGCAAATTTACCTGATAATAAAAATAAATAAATGTAATACAAACGTTGCCAGCGCTTTAGTGATGTAATTATTACAAGTCCTTATGAAAACAAGAGAATAATGGTTTGTAATCAGTATCCTTTTGATTAACAGTAATGTTCCCCCAATCAGATACAGTCCATCTTTTTCTTTCATTTTCCCCATTTGTTTTATCACTTTTGTTTGAAGACTGGTTTGTTGTTGTGAATAAAATCATACTTTTTTGGATCTGCACTTTAAAATGGCATTAAAAAAAAAGGTTAATGAAATGGCAATATTACTAAAAGCAGGTATGGAGGCATGCTGGCATTTTTTTTTTTATTAAGGTCTGTTTTTTGTGTGTTTTTTGATGTATTATTGTACAATAAAACATATTTTATAAGATACAAAAATAACACTGATTATCATGCTAATAGGCATAAATTCAGAAGTATATTGTAAAACATATCTTTGAATAGAAATACAGTTTTAATTTATTTAAAAAATGATGTTAACATAATCTAATTTACTTTTAAAACAGAAAAACAATATTTCAATATCTGCTATAAGATAACAACATATTGCTTAACAGAAAGATTTACCCCATTTTACATGTTTTTAAAGATCATAGTCACTTAAGATTAGATCTGTGCAATTACTGAGTCCCAGACTCAGCTTGCCGAATGCAAACCCACAGCAAATACATATTGTATTTGCTTTGCAATTACAAAATTACTGCAAACACAAAAAGGAGAAAAGGGTTAAGGACTACAAAAGAGAAATGCTGCAATCATAGAAAATAGACAGATGCAAAGTAGCTGCAAATATATAAAGGGGTTACAACCATAAAATGCACTGCAAGCATAAATAATGGTAACACAAAATACATGCAAAGAAAAGAAATTTTGCAAGTAGCACAAATAACTGCATTAACAAAAGCTGCAAACTTGGGAGAGAAGATCATCAACTTTTATGGGACCAGGCCCTTAGTAAAGACATAAAGCTTATTAACATTGTTTTAAAAAAAAAAGACTATAAAGAACTTGTACCTTTTTTTCTTTCTTTTTTGCCTTTCGTCTTTTTTCCAGTGAGTGTTTATTAAAAATGTACTATTCATGTGATCAGTGGATTATTTTCGGTTACCAACATATGTGGTTGAAGAATCTGAAATGTTAGCTTCTAAACTAAAGCCCATGTGTGAAATGTGGGCTTCTAAAAATGCCTTAAAATTAAAGGTCAGAGTTTTCTTATATCTTGGGCCAATCAAAATCCCCATGAAATTCCCTGTTTACTCATCTTATGAAAGAAATATCCTCAAATGAAAAAATCTCTTTTGCTGTTTGGAATTACTAACTCTGAGTGGGCTGCAGCAGTTTACTTGGTAAAAAAGAGAAAAGCAAAAAAAAAAAAGACTGTTAATTGTTGGACTCTGCTTTTTTGCATTGACGATATGGGCTTCTTTTTAAATTATTTTCTCATAATTAGATTGAAAGGCATATAGGCACTCCGAGCAGCGGTGTCATTATGGCTTTACTAACTCATATTGACTTACACACGACCGATCTGCCTCTTTTCTTGCCAACAGAGTATCTAGGAGACACGTGCAGCATCCAAATGATCGGCCCCTTTATTAAAACACCACGAGAGCTATGCAGGTTGCTAGACACCAGTTGGCGCTAAGAGACATTGATTATGATTGTCTTCTGCGTTTACCGTTGCATTTACTGCAGTGTGAGCTGGCCACCTGAGCTGCATTGGTAGCATTGTGCAGCGTGCATTCTCATTATTTCAGGCTTTTCACATTCCCGCTGCCTAAGACCAGGTATTTCCATGTACTGATTAAAGGTGAGATGTTTAATGTGCTGTCTCGTCAGACTGCCTGTGCAAGGCTCTGCGTGCCCCTATAACCTTTTTGGCTCAGCTCTTGAAGTGTAAATGGGCTCACGTTGCTCTACCATCCCCTCTTTTCTTCTTTACCTTCCTTTTCTTCCTTCTCTGTCACTCCTGTAAGACTCTTATTCTATGCACTCACAGGCAGCATAATAACTAAATGGAGAAAACCAGCTCTCCTATTTAAAAAAGCACAAAACCCCACAAACAACTTCTTTTTAACAGTATTTTGTAAATGTGAGCCTCTTCAAATCTTTACTGTAATATTCACTTGACCTGAGTTTTATGCCCTGTGGCTCGCACCGCAGGATTATACAGACCTTCTGTATCTGGAAGGTCAGTCTGTATTCTAAAAAGCATTTTTGAAGCAGTTGTTTGGTTTTCCCTTGTTGCCAGTCAATCCTGGCAGCACAGATTGTCAGAGGCTCTTCAAAGCGGGTCGAAAAGAGGTGAAAATCATAGCTGAGGGTCAAAAAGAAGGTGGAACATTGATATTGGCAGTATAGCTAGTGCAAGCAATCATTTAGGTAGATATTATGCTCCCTTAAAAAGAAGAAGGCTTAGGAAGAGTTTATTCAGCATTATAATATTTTTGGAAAGTGGCAAGATGTGTTAAATCCTTTAAAAATAATGTTAAAAGTTGGAATATATTGGGGAAAAAACTGTGGTTTTCACCTTAATTTATTCTATCCCCACATATATAAAAAGCAGTATATATCAATATAGCTGATGGTGCGAAATAGGTATTTTATAGGAGGGAAAAGTAACTGAAATAACGTTAATAGTTCTCCATATCATTTTCTAACCACATTCAAAAGAAGATACATAATGGCATTGTGGCAGAGAAAGAAACAGAGGAATTTCTCTCTTAAAAGATGAATGATTTAACCTGGTGCTTGGGTTCTTTCATGTGTCTCATTTATTTTTTTCAGTAGCTCAAACCTGCTGTGCAAATATTTTTGTCTCATACTCCCATGCCGACATGTCGCGAGAAATAGGAGCTTAAAAGGCGTTTTTAGTTGCATCAGCTCACTGTTACCTCTTGCCGATTGCTATGTTGGAAAGTCAAAGGTAGGATAGTGTCACATTATGTTAATATAATGTGACAAAAAGGAGGTGATTACAGTTAAACTGATGATAGCCTCCAAAACTGTGATCTTTGACTACCCTTTAATAGCAGAGAATAGCTCTGTGTGTGAGAGATACTAGAAGATTAAAACAGAACGATCCCTTTGGGGAGAATAAGATTGATAGTTCAGCGAGTGTTGCCATAGCTAAATAAAGGGAATGAAGTACAGAAAGGAAACAGAAGGTGAATTTAAAGAGATTTTTAGTTGTTTTTTTTTAAAGCAAACCTGTATCTATAATTAATGCATATTCTATTTAATGTTTCCTGTTTACATAATACCAATTTACAATGCATCAATATGCTTTAAAAAATCCAAACATATAGATGAATCAATTCTAAACATCAGAACTCAAATACGTTTGCTGTACACAGATGGATTCATTACATTTATTTTCCTTTCATTTGAGTTATGATGAAATAAAAAAAATAATAAACCCCTTTTTTAACACAGAGAATTACACCTGCAGAAAATAATGTCAATATCCTAGCCATTAAATGCTAACACAGAGGTAATCTTTGGCTCTGCTGTGGTGTTAGTAAAGACTAGGGTTATTTGATAATCATCTCTACATTTTTGGATATTGTGGCTCTAATTGTCTTGACAATAACTAATAGATTATCTGTTGGATTTAGGTCCAATCAGTTTGCAATCTTTTTTTCTCCTTAGACCAGGTAAGATTTGACCTTAACCATGGTTCAGAAGTGACTTAACACTAGGGATCTAACATTCGTAGCTCATATCCTATACATAGATTATCACTGTTCCATGATCTGCAAGTGCTCATTAAGCTTCATGTTCAACTGAAAGGGTCCCCGATGGAATGGGTGGGTTGAGATAATCAAGATTTATCATTAACTGTTTACTGAACTAAATTATCCCAGCTTTATTATTAGCTTATAGCAATCTGGAAAAACAACAAGGGAGTGTTACATTTTAGGCAATGGGTTAAGCTTGAAACCAGCCTATTTTTTCCACATTAAATGATTTTCCTCTCTAATGTATTTATATAAAATGACCTTTGACTTATTAAAAGGGCAGAATTTAGTTTTTATTCTTATTGTGCTTCCGGACTGGACATGTAATTGGCAAACAGAGCAGCTCCCCAATGGAAAAAGTGCTTTCAGGCTGATATAATGAGTTTGCAAACACTGGCTGCCCATCAAACAGAAATCATGGCCAGCTGCTTTATATCATTTACAGTACTGTGTTAAATCCCTGTCGCAGGGTGAGCAAGCAGATCTCAGGAGGCTAAAGCTGGACTAAGATGAAGTACAGCAGAAAATGTAGCAGATATTCTGCCACTTCTAATTTATTTTCTGATTAGTCACTTAAGGTTTCATTATAGACAAAGTTTGCTTATTGCTTTCAACTTAAACAAATGACTGCATATAATTAAAGTGTTTTCAGTCAAACTTACCAAACTGATGATATTTAAATTACATGAGAATCATGAGCAGAAAAACAGCTAGGTTTGAAATTAGTCTGAATCGAAAACCTGTATATGTTAAGTCAACAAATATCAGAGAAGCACGTGGAGCTAGGGGATTATATTTGCCTTGATATAGAAAACTAATATAACATGATGATGCTATGAGGTGATTCAACTTATAGTGGGATATTATGTGACTTTTTAGCTGCATTCTTTTGGCAATGCTAAGTGTGAATATCTATTTTTAAAAAAAGGTGTGATGGAAGAAGCATCTTTATTAAAGGTCTAAAGGTTAAAACCCAAGAAATAATTAATGGCAGACATGGTACCGGAAAAATAACTTGTTTAGTTTAAGATGCAGCTATGTACTTGAATATAAAATATTTTGTAAAGGTCATTTTTTATCTCCTAACTTTTTTAAATAGAACAACCACAACTTTAAATGTATCCTGGGTTTATAAACAAAGGACCAGGCATGTCCAAAGTCGGTATTTGAGGGTCGCCCTCCTGCGGCTTTTAGAGGTTTCTCTGCTTAAACACAGCTGATTCTGATTATTGCAGTTTAGCAAAAGCCTCTTAATCAGCTATCAATGTGCTTAAGTAGGAGAAGCCCAATGAATAATATAACCATACAATGCTCACCCTTAGTTTAACTTTGCCCCATCCTGCAACTCAGTTTTACTACACTGAAGACATAGAGCAATTACATGTAAATGAGCAATCATGGTATACATGTAACTCATGATATGCTACTGTTATTACTTAAAAAAGACATTCTAGGCAATAATGTTAAAATTGCAATACGTTTGGCTGAAGTTTGTGATTTTAACAAAAAAATGTTTTGGAAAGGAATGTAAAATGCCGGGCTGTACAGTGGTGCAATGCATAGCACTGTTGCCTTGCAGCAAGAAGGTTGTGGGTTTGATTCCTATATCGGGTTCTTTCTGCATGGAAGTTGCATTTTCTCCCTGTGCATGCATGAGTTGTCTCCGGGTACTCTGGCTTCCTCACCCAGTCCAAAAACATGACTGTTAGTTTAATTGGCTTCTCTAAACTGTCCTTAGGTGTGATTTTGTGTGTGCATGGTTGTGTGTCTTTGTGTGTCTCTGTGTTGCCCTGCGACAGATCGGTGACCCTCTCGCCCATAGACTGCCAGAGATAGGAAGACCCTGACAGGACTAAGCTGGAGAAAATGGATGGATGGATGTAAACTGCCATATAGTGAATGTGTTATTCCAAGTTGTGCTTTCCATTCACGCCTTGTAACACCTCCTTGGTTGCTAGAAAGCGATGCACCACATATTTGCCGCCAACTGATGATGTCTTTGCCCTCACAGATGGTCACTAAATGGGACTCTCATAAATCTGGGACTGGATCGTCGGCGTCGTCTGTCTGGGGGCAACCTCATTATAGGCAATCTGAACCGCTACCAGGATGTAGGGATGTATCAGTGTATGGCCTACAACACTGTAGGAGCTATACTCAGCAGGAGAGCGAGTCTACAGTTTGCCTGTAAGTTAATTAATTAGAATGTTTGGTATTTTTACTCCAAACTGCATCAAAGCTTTGCTGTATAAAGAAAAAGAAATGTGATTTGAATAAAGCAAAGATACAGTTGCCATGTTTCAATGTGTATTCCGGTGCAGTCTCTGCCACTGTGATTTCACTCTTTCCATAAACCTGTCAATGCCTTTTCTCAGTTTTCATGTCATGCATTAGATATCTATTCATTAGCAAAGTGAGCACTCTGACTTAATCATGTTTCCCGTGCACATTTTTCATGACAAGGTGCAAATTAACTGAAAATGTCATTAGAAGAAACAAACACACAGTCAGCCATAACACTCTAATGCTGTTGGATACGGTTTTCACAGGGCCAAATGTGAGGTGCTAAAAGATGTGGCAAAGAAAAAAAAAAATAGCCTGAAAGAGATTCAGAGGTTACATCATGCTTTTTGAGAAATAAATACCCTTTTTTTATGTTATGCAAAATAGTTTTTCTAAGGCTGAGATTATAATAGTGGGTCACTAATAGGTAGCAGTAGGGTGTAGAGGGGTTGTTGGTGTGAACTCAAATTGTTAACAATGAGCTTTTCAGTTTAACTATTCACTAAAATTAATCTGATCTAAGGACCATTTTATAAATCAGCAAAATAGATTTTAGCAAGGCCGTATTCATTAGCATGCATGAGTTCACATGATCCACTACAAAAAGTGGCCAAGGATAACCTTATGCTTCCTTATTTAATTGTTTCTGCAGCATTCTAATTGCCACTGAAAGGTTTAGAGGTCAATCCTACGTCTTTTTAATGTAATTCACCATTTATAAAGCTTAGTCTTTAAAGGGCATACATCAACATTTTCTAATCTTTTACATTTCATTTGTTCTTGGGGTTGTAGCTCATTTAAAATCTTTATATGTCTAAATCTGGGGGTGAAACTTTTAAAATAAGTAAACGGAGGACATGGCGGTTGGGGACATTCTTCAAAGTTGTAGATGGGGATAATGTTACATACAGAACATCAATTCTTTCATTGGCACCCGAGATAAAAAAAAAAAATGTTTTTTTAGAGCTTTATCTCCGATGTTAGTTTATAAGGATTTAAAAGTGAATGTGAATAAACTTGGTTGTTTAAACCATAACTACTAGGTGGGGACTCATCTGAAAATCTCACTTTCTTACATCTAATTGATCTGTGTATAATTTACTGGGTACTAAGTCTACTGAAATAAACTAGCTGTCAAAAAATGAGTGTGCAACCACTTAACCACTTATACTTTTTTCTTTCAACTACGCATTGTACTACTATGTCACCCAAACATGTAAAATTGGATGTTTGGAAGCAAAGTCGAATTACTAGTCATTCATTGGCTCAGACACGGAACAAAGAACTCCCAGCTGCACTTTATTTTGATTGATAAGCATGAAAAGATTTAAAACTGAGACCTCTGGAGATCAGAGGTTATAATGATAGTAGAAACACGAATATGGTAAAAAAAAAAAAGTCTCCACTCTTTCATATGCCACATGTTCATTCATATACATTTGTAATTTAATCTAGGTCGTAGAAATGCGTGACTTCAAAGCTCCTTTTTGTTTGTTTTTGAAACTGGGAGTAATATAACAGCCATTATGGTTTATTTGTGTTAAATTTATGGGTTTCCCAGCTTTGCAAGATGATATTTGCTCAAAGAATTGAAAAACCAACTAAAACTGAGGCTATATAAGGAACTTCTCCAAAGTCTTCTCGATTAATTCAGCTGCCTATTGTGTTTACTCAATTATTCCCCTGAGAAAGGCAAAACTTACTTTCCTATTGTTAAACATTGAGTTTTTGGTCTTAATAATGTAGCAGATTGCCTGAGAGCACTGTATTTGTTCAAAAATAATTGAATCCAGGTGAATACACTACCTGGTAATCTCACAGTAGCGTTTGGATTCAGCAGCTTTCTTTTTCTCTGGGAGAGCAGTTCTCATAGTTGGGTCATAGGACTGCAACAGTATTGTTTTTTTTTTGGCTTTCTTAATAAGTAAGATCACTAGCTTCTGTTTTTTGTTTCTTTTTCTCAGATTTAGACCATTTCAAGGTTCACACCAGAAGCGCTGTGTCAGTTCGAGAGGGACAAGGAGTGGTGTTATTATGTGGGACACCAACTTCATCTGGAGGTATAGTCTCATAGGGGAATTTAAAAAGCTATTTTGCAGGTGTGAAAATGTTTGCACGCTTGAGGCTTTGTGTGGATCAAATTCTGACACTGGACACAAAAGTAGTCCTGCTAAATTAACTTTCAAGCAAACCGTCTCTCTATGTTATTGTAGTTAGCATCTAATTTAGATAGGCCATTTTGAATGGATTTATGTCAAAGTCTTTTTATACTCACTGATTTTAATAGAAATTAAAGGCAGACAAAAAACATTGTTACAGTCTTATAGAAAAAAATACAATGCACTGAGACCAAGTGTAGATTTAGTTGCTGGAGAAGAAATAGGGGATGTAAAGCAACCTACAAAAAATGTTTAATATTGTCTCATGAAGAATCTATCGCCTCTTCCTATAACATATTTTAATCAGTTTCTGACCATCATAAAATCATGCAAATTATCTAAATCAACACATATAATTTAATAGAATAATTTTATGAATATTAAATTATTTTGGTTAATGAAGACCATTTACATTTACCCAAATAAATCAGTTAAGGTAATATAATAACATAAGGCAGTAAAGAGTGTATTTGCATAAAGATTGATAAGACCATTATCAAATTCAATCAAGACACAGAAACTGTTTTTTTTTTCTTTTTTTTTTTAGGCACATTCTTTTTTTTATGTGTTTTTATGGGGCAATATTATCAAAATCTTTCCTGTTCAATTTATACTGCTTGCAGCCCTGCTTTGAACTTCGAATTTTTGTTTCTAATTTGCACTTCATGTACTATTCACTGAAAAGCCCAGAGGTGATTATAGAAGCATGCACAGAAAACAAGTGATAAATGCAAACATGAGACTGAAACATTGGAAGGGACAGAAACAACAGTAAGCTGATTATTTCTTTGTTTATTTATGTTTTTTGGCACTGAGATGTATAATTTTTTTTTTTATGGGAGAGTATACTCAGTAACCTTTTCTTTATTTGTGCTAATTTAGTGTGCTGTTAATGTCTATATTATTTATTGCCATTAATTATAAATTTAGACAACATATTTATAGAGCTGAAAAAAATGACATTAACCAAGATTAATTCTATATTGAAATAATCATCAACTAATTTATTGATCTCATAATTGTTAATAATATAACAAATCTAAAATATGCAGTTTGCTGCAAGAACAATTCTATCAGCAATAATTAAGCCAACATTGGACAATAAATATACACATTTCCATTTAAAATGAAAACCCCTATTTCATATGATAATATGCTATCCGTTTCCTTTTCTGGTTGTTGAATATATATTTTTGCATTTTAGCCATTTATGACCAAGGTAAATCAGTAGATAATTGCTGAAGTAGTTAAATAAAAAGGACGGAATTGTCACAGGATCTGGAATAGTTTAATGAAATATTCTTAAGTTTTGCGTTTAAAAAATGTTTTCGTTTTTTTTTGTCAATTGAACTATTGTTGTTTGAAATAGCTTTAATTTGTTCAGCTTTCTCTTTCTGTATGCATTTAGTGCAGTCTGCCTTGTTAATTAATTAAAAATAATAATAAGCACATGCTGAACAGCTCCCAATACGTAGGAATTGTACTCCTTTGTTAATTACTCTGCTTTTTTCTAAATTACAGTTTTTCATATAAAGGCAATTAAATCCACTTAATGGTCAATCGAAATTTGAAATCATATAAAATTGCTGAAAGGCTCCATCACTAGCTCAAATGCATCCTTGTTTATCTTTTAGATCTTACTTATGCCTGGGTCTTCAATGAGTATCCATACTTTGTTCAGCAAGACAATCGGCGATTTGTCTCCCAGCAGACAGGAAACCTTTATATAGCTAAGGTGGAGCCCTCTGATGTGGGGAACTACACTTGTGTGGTGACGAACAGCATCACAAAAGGCAAGGTCCAGAGCTCACCGACATCTCTCATCCTCAGGACAGATGGTAAGATTCAGCATATGGTCCTGACGTTGCAACTTTTTCCTCTTAATGACCTTTTTATCACCAGATTAGCATACAACTATTTGGCATGTTGTCCATCAGTGCATTTGAGTCCCTGATTGCCAATAGCTCTTTGTAAATAGTTGCTGCTCAACAAAAAGGGTCCCTAAATATCCCCTATGCTGACTTAGCATTCTTATGATTTCCATTCCAATTTGCCTTCCTTCTGCTTTCACTTGAATTCTCACCACTGTTCTTGGTGCATCGTTGTTCTGTTCCCTGTTATGGTTTCATAGAAAGAGTGAATAAAGATTGCCTCAAATGAATTAAACATGAGTCATACGTCACTGGACCATTACATTGAGTGTTCTGGTGGCTCGACTAGTTAGTTTCCACTCAGTGTACTGTACATGTAGCGGCATAAATTTAAATCCCATTGCATCACTGTCTGATCTCCATCTTCTATGCCTTTCTTGAATACTGATATAGACAATAAAACTGCCCACTCAAGCTTTGAAGTAATAGATAAGAAGCCTGTGACCAAAAAAAAAAAAAAACAAGACAGTAATTCCCCCCCTCCCCTGTGGAGCTTGAAATTATTGTTTGCTGGCTTTGCACAACATCCCATGACTGTATATTTAAGTGATGCACTGCTAAGAGTTTACCCATGAGAGAATGTTTGTTCATGTGCCTTTTATTTGTCCTCAGCACCATAGCTTGAATCGCTGAGCCATTAGTATTGTTGGTAAGTCATAAATAATAGAAGACTGAGCCGGTTCTTGTGCTTGCTCCTCACAGGAGTGATGGGTGAATACGAGCCAAAAATAGAAGTTCATTTTCCAGACAATGTACCTTCTTCTAAAGGATCAACAGTTACTCTAGAGTGCTTCGCCCTTGGAAAGTAAGTCAAATTCCTTGTAGACTGTTTTCAATTTTCCTTAGCCTATCTTTCCAGACGAGAAACCTCCAGATTAAAAAAAATGTAAAAAGAAATTCCTCTGGCAATTATTTTCTGACTGTGTGGAGAAAAAAAATGATGGTCGGTATTAAAAGTGCTGAAAAGCTTTCATTTTTTATGGTTGGATTGGGCTTAATCTGAGCCATTCATCCACAAAATATACACAGAGGAAGCTTTTATAGTCAGTCAAATGCTTCATTAATGCTGGATTTTTACGGGAACCTGCAACCCAAGCTACTTTTTTGTTGCAGTCCTGTCCCAGAAATCACCTGGAGGAGGGCTAACGGAGTGCCTTTTCCCAGCAAAGTCAAAATGAAATACTCAAATGCAGTACTGGAGATTCCCAGCTTCCAAATGGATGATACAGGAGGGTACGAGTGTGTGGCCGAGAACAAGATGGGAAGGAACACGGCTGCCGGTCGACTGGCTTTTTACGGTAACACTACTTTGAGTTGTCTTACTGTAAAGTGTATCATCTATGGCAGGGGTCTTCAATGTTTTCAGTCTGAAACCCCGAAATTGATGGTCAATTTAGGGGTTCTTCGCAATGTCTGCCCTCTGTGGCATTTAGTGTTGAAGTTTTAGACAGCAGAAAAGGAGAAGCTGAAAAAGGTTAACATCAGACAGGGATCTAGGGTGCTGACATTAAAGATTTAATCTGTAAAACCTGTAAAATCTGCGTGTTTTTTTCAATCTAATTGCTGCTTGAAAACATGTAGCAAAAAACATTCATGGACTACTCAACAGCTTTCAAGTTTTAATGCAAACTCGTGGCCCCTCTGTATAAATAACATGTAAAAGTCAGCTTTTTTTCTTGTTTAAACAGATTTTACTACTATTGAAGATTTTAGTATTCTGGAGACAATTGTGGAATATTGCCATTTCCCCCCTACTGTTTCTCCATAACCAATTAGGGGACATCCTAATTGAGTATAGCAACTTTATGACACAATACCTAAACAAAAATCCAAGCATACTGTAAATTTTATAAGATTGGTAGAAACTCTGAAAAGTTCTTGAAAACTACAAAAATGTCTTACTTATTAGAAGCATAGTATTAAAAAAATGGTACCCGATTCAAGACTTTAGCAAAAGACTGGAATTTGCTTCAATTGCTGAAACAATTAGCAATCAGAGATGAAATAAACAACTTGCATATTTCTGTGTTTGATTTTTGCACTCTCATGTGCACCTATAACAGAATTTATTTTCACATTTAAATAAAGAAATTCAGTAAAAAAATGTATCTTGCTTTGAGCAATTCTAAGGAGAGTGTTTGTGGTGATAAATGTGGTTTAAATTATTAACCTGTACATGCAGAAGTTTTTTTCCTACATTTTTGAAAAGCTCTTTTATAATTTTAGCAGCTAGCTATGTTGCCTCACAGCGAGCTGTGTCTTTTCAGTTCTAATCTTGGTTTTGTGGCTTTTCTATTTAAGTTTGCATATTTTTCGCCTCGTGCTTGCTCCCAGCTTTTCTCCAGAGTCCGAAAAAACACTTGAAAGGGTTCTAAAAATGTTAACCCTTTCACATGTCAATTTGCTCACCTTATGTAACATTGTGAGAAAGATAGTTTAGTGATTTCATCGGTGTAGGAGCTTAAAAAACTGGAAAAAGAGATTAAAAAAATGTCTTGTTTTTGTATTTAGTATTAGTTTTATCTTACTAACTGTGTTGAGGTGTTTGATGAAATTTGGCCCCTTAGCTTTCCCCTGATGCTGTTTTTCTTTGTGAATTCATTAAAGAAGAGAAAATGACACCTATGACATTGGAAATGACAGTATATTTGGCACCTGCAAAAGAAACTGTGCTTATTATGAGCCCTCCATTCTTTCCATACAAACACAACAGGAGAAAAGTATAGAAAAGTTCTGCATATGTTATGCTGAAAGTTTTGTGCAGGAGTGATGGTTTTCCTACACACACTTAAGGTGACAGGTTGTGGTGGGCGAAGATGTTGTCTGCACTCCACCAGTGGTGAGAAGTTTTCCGCTTTGTGATTCAGTGTTTAATGGTAATCTTGTGTAGCCACAGGCTCGTGAAACCTTTGAGTGATAAAATATTCAACCGTTTCTCCTCCAGCCGCTTAAATACAAGCCCATCCCGTTTGAACTGCCAATCCATGCTTCCTTTGAACCATTTGGGAAGCAGCATACTTAATGGCTCGCTGCCGTTTCCTTGAAAGGCACTCCTCTGGGTTCACGTGTGATGTATCATGAGAGCGTGTTTCTGTGTCTTTAGCCAAGCCTCAGTGGATCCAGACCATGAAGGACACTGCCCTGGCCATAGAGGAGAGGCTGCACTGGGAGTGCCGTGCTAACGGCAAGCCTAAACCCTCCTACGCTTGGCTGAAGAACGGTCAGCAGCTTCTCTCACAGGTAAATCACAGCCAACTCAAAATGTTTCATATCTAATACTTAAGCTGCAGCTTTGACTCAGCATTTTTTTTATTTAAAAGAGCCCAACACAAGAGCTTGTTGCTGTTTTTTCCAGAGTGTTAGACGAGAGTGTAAACATATTACGAAGGTGTGCCAGTGATGAGACTTGGATTTCGCTGGGGCTGGTTCAGCTTCACCTTGGAAGATTACACCGTCTTAGAGAGTGGATCAGTCGAGTTCCCGGGAGATTGCTCCATTTCATTTGAATGGAGTCGAGAGTTGTTTTTCATTATTCATGATGCATGTTTAAGCTCCCTGAGATTTAGGGACAATGGGCTTAATCTACTGTGAAAATATACTATATGGAGCTGCACACCTCAGGTCCAAACCACAAGAGACACACACACAGTCTGGCACATTTTCTGCTGAGTTTCTTTAAACTTGGCTGATTCTAACTGGGCGGCTCCTGAGATGTATTTTTTTTTTGTTTTATGGTACTTGATAAGCCTCACAGCGAGACACTGAATTACACAACATATAAAATTTGTTTTTACATAATTGTTAAAGAGATTTTCTAAATATCACTTCTTATTTTCTTGGCATCGTAGCATTTATCATGTACAAAAAGAGTATCAACAGTGGCTTGGAAGAGTATTAATATAACTTTTTTCACATTTTGAAAGAGTTCAACTTCAAAATGAATTATATTTTATTGTGATTTAATAGACAAACAAGTTTTATATGCTAATAAAGTTGAAGGATGAGTTTTTTTTTTTTCATATTTCTAAGAATAACATTTCCTTAAAATTTTATCTCCATTTGTATCCATCCCCTTAAAACTCTTTATGGGGAGTGGTGGCCTAGTGGTTAGAGGATTGTGCTTGGGTCCCGGAGGTTGGGTCCCACAGACCGCCACTCTGGGTCCCTGATCAAGACCCTTAACCACAGATGCTCCGAGGGCGCCGAACAATGGAAGCCCACTGCTCCTCAAAGGGATGGGTTAAATGCAGAGAGTGAATTTCCCCATTACGGGACGAGAAAGGGATTAACATTTACCTTTCATGAATTTAAAATTTATTACGTATTCTTACGTATTCTTAACACATAGCTTAATTTTCTGAGGTTAGTTAGTGAAAATACTCAACAAATTGCTTTACATAGACAGTTGTTAACTTTGAACCTACAACACAGCCATCTACCTAAACAGAAAAGACGAAGAAAGTAGCCAAATGGGCTCATGGCTTCTTTTGGAGCTTCAGAGATCAACAGCTCAGGTGGAAAAATCTGTTAACAGAACAAATAATATTCATACACTGTACTTATTTTACCCTACTTACAAACTAACTCAGCATGCACACCATCCTGCTGGTGGCAGCATCATAACAGGCTCACTTTTGTGGATGTATTAAAATGTCTGGAAATTTAAAAGACCAAGTCTAGATGAGAAGAAGAAAAAAGTAAAATGCTTGATCTTCTAATATAGGTATGACATGCAGATGTAGATTTAGCACATGCAGCAAATGACTTGTGAAAACTGCTCTTGTGTCCCCAAATCCAGTTCAATTTATGGTGTTTGGAAAATGACAGACGGTGACAAAGTTCAAGAGGTTTAATACTTATGGAAGAAGCTATATATTCAGCTTCATATCCATGGCGTATGATACTGTTAAAAACACACACACACACACACACACACACATTTATATATATATATAGCTCTCATATAGTAGTTGCTCTAAGTATTAATGGTAAGAACAGCAGCCCTAAAATTTTGTGATTCCTACAAGCCTGGTTTGCTTTTATTTTGAAGCTCCTTCGCCCTTCTTGGCAGCAGGAATATTTCAGCTGTACCTGATGGGATGGGGAGCTGTAGTGCTGAGCCATATTCAGTTCTCTTCTGAGATCTTGTTTCAGAATCATTCCTAACTGGCTGATCCTTGAACAGTTTTAGATCTCCCCTGAAACAGCTTTTGTTATCTTAGTCCAACACATCAGTACCTTGGCTTATTACAATATACACCTCCGATCATAAGCACACATTTTCCTGGCTTGTTTCCCAGTTTCTCTTACAGAGAGGGGTTTCTAGAAGATGCTGCTATGAGAATAATGGTCGATCATGGTGTAGGTGAGGCTCAGGGGTTTTCTTTTATCCAAAACATTGTAAAGGAAGCTCAGAAATAGTTTGCTACACTCTGATATAAAGTTGTTTTTGTTTTACTGATTGTTCTTCTGTCTTTACTTAGAAGCTGGTGTTATTTAAACTGACCAAAGTCCTGTTGGTTACCTGCTGATTCCAGCCCTCCATTCTATCCTATTATGCTGAATAGGCCATTAAAAGGATTTGTTTCCCTTCCACAGATCTGTGCCCAGAAATAACCTTATTGTACATCTATAGATACTTTTTTATATCCCATATATGACCATTAGTGAGACCTGTGTTACTATCCTATTCGTACTGCTTTGCATGACCTTGTTGAGCATTGCTGACATTGTGTAAAAATCTTAAACAAATTTGTAGTTGAACTGTTAGCATGAGAATCTTTTCCGTTCTTTTATCCCTCTTTTCCATGGAATGTGGATGTTTTTTGGAAGCTCTGCAGTGAGCTGCACTGCGCCTCAACAGCATTTCTTGTCAGTTATGGCGTATTTTTTGTGCCACTGACTAGAGTGTGCAGTTAGCAGTCTGAGTGAGCAGTAAGACTGGTGTGCAGCGTTTAATCCCTCACCTGCTCAATCAAAATGTGTCTGGCCCACTCCTACTCCACTCCTTTTCTGCACTCACTCAACTACATTTCTCTGTACGCTTAGCTTTGTCTTCAATTTAAAAAATGACACAAAAAAAAAACATATTGGAACTCAGTTAATCAAGATAGATTCTAAGAAAACAAGGTTATTAAATGACGAGCAGACATGTAGCTGTGGGTAGTACTGGCCAAATAAACACTTTGCATGTTTATTGTTCTGTTTGCGGCCTTAAACAACACTACTACGATATGAAGATGCAATTCCTGTGTTATGCGAGTCAAACTGCACAGAGATGCTCCTCTATGAAGCACTGGTGGTGGAATAATACCTGACAGAAAGCATAGCACAGCTACAGTGCTCCCATGTATAATTGAGCCGAGGGATTACATTCCTTCTCTCTGTGTGGATCGAGATGATGAAGATGGATACTTAAAAAGTCCTGTTCGACACAATTAGCAGTTTTCCTGTTGCTATTTCATGAGTTTTGAAAAGCCATTTGTCTTCCTTTAATGCTGTGTTCACGTCTTTCCAGTTTTGATAGCAACTAAAAGATTAAGGTTTTCGTTTTTTCCCAATAAAAAATTTCATTACAGATTGATAATTAGGAGAACCTCATTGCTATAATGTTAAGTCTGTGTAAAAACCTCTACAGTATCAGGGTACCTACATAAAAACTACACATTGATTTGAATCCATCATGAGTGCTGATAAATGTGAAGGGATCTGTTTATTTCATGATTTGTATATTGTAAGCAGGACAAGCCTTTCAATGGTAAGAGTCAATTGTCATATATTTTTTTGTGAGGAACAATATGCACATAAAAATGAAAATACACAATTGTCTACAATGATGCTAACATTCATTAGTCTGATGTGCAAAAGCAAAGGACTACATTTAACTCGGGCAATAATAGCTTTTTTCATCCCTCTCCTCACAGGACAGGATCCATGTGGAGGATGGGGTCCTGACGGTGTCGCCACTCACTCTGTCAGATGCTGGCATGTACCAGTGTGTGGCTGAGAACAAACATGGCGTCATATATTTTGGAGCTGAGCTAATGGTTTTAGGTAGGATGGCATTTTTCTCTTAAATCCCCAATCATTCTAGAATCTAAAGGTAATCAAACAGTCTGTCTTAAAGGTTTTATGATTAGTGAATAAAGAGATCACAGAAAAAAATATGTTTCTGGTGTCAAAAACATTTAAATGTATTCTCCTCTTCCTGACTGTGCCTTGCAAAATGATTAATTGCTCTTGCCTTCTTTTTCTATGAACTGTGATATTACAACCTGAGTGTGATTTTAAATTTTTAAGTATCATGAATTACAAAGCAATTAATAATTGTAAAGTAGATGTTCTTTAAATAAAGATCTGGTAAGTGTTTATTTTTGCTCAAACCCTATTTATCCCAATGCCTAGAAATAAAATCCAAGGCATGAATTTGGAAATCACCAACAATGTAATTAGAGGGAAGGGAAGTCGTTGTGTTGAATTGGGAGGAGCTACAGAAACCCACAGCTCAGGTGGGACTATCTGTTGACAGGGCAACTCTAGGCCCTACATTGCCTTAGAAGCAAATATGAGTGTAGAGAAGATTCACCTTTCAACAGGATATCATGTCTAATCTTACTGGTAGAGCTGCATACAATTGTTTAAGGCTGTAATAAACAAAAATTGATTAATCTGTCAATTATTTTTCCGATTAATATATTAATAATCAGATATCAAAAGGTTTCTTAAAGGAATAGTACACCCAAAACATGATTAGCCTTCATTTTCTACTCACCCCCATGCTGAACAACACTCTGGAGTACTTTTTTGATATCTCAAATGCATCTGGAGATCTGGGAGGCTTCTTGCTGTCTGCTGACATTCAAATAATGGAGGTCTACGGTGCCCGAGACAGACAGGTCCATAAAAGTCCATAAAAAACGTGTCAATATTCCTCCATACTGCTCGTCCAATGTATTCCAAGTGTCCTGAGTGGGTAGCATCCAGAATTTACTCGAAACGAAGTCATTTAGAATGTTTTTAGAGCATAAACAGTAGTGTATAGGATTTCCTGAAAGCGCGCACATGCGCGTTCATGACGCTACGGAAGCCGGCAGACCAACCAGATGAAAGTGCGCATTCAGCGTCTGCTCTGCCAATAATGCAAGCGTAGAAGAAGAAATGTGCTGTTTACCTGTGCAAAGAAAGAAACAACGAAAGAAAAATGTCTGAGGACTTCAGTGTTGAGGAAGAGCATGAGTTCTTTGCCGAGCTGAATGCGCTGGTTTGGTCTGCCGGCTTACGTAGCGTCGTGAACGCGCACGTGCGCGCTTTCAGGAAATCCTATACACTACTGTTTATGCTCTAAAAACATTCTAAATGACTTCGTTTCGAGTAAATTCTGGATGCTACCCACTCAGGACACTTGGAATACATTGGACGAGCAGTATGGAGGAATATTGACACGTTTTTGTGGACTTTTATGGACCTTTCTGTCTCGGGCACAATAGACCTCCATTATTTGAATGTCAGCAGACAGCAAGAAGCCTCCCAGATCTCCAGATGCATTTGAGATATCAAAAAAGTACTCCAGAGTGTTGTTCAGCTTGGGGGTGAGTAGAAAATGAAGGCTAATCATGTTTTGGGTGTACTATTCCTTTAAAGAAGATCTATTACAGACTTAAACCAGGTGAAAAAAAAGTTTTTCAACTTGAGGAAATGTTTATATGTTTGTTTGTTTTGTTCTTTTTTAGTATAATTACTGCTCTAAGCCAGTTGCACTGTTAGCCAAAACAATGTTTTCGTCTCCATACTCCAGTTTACAATTAATCGATTACTAAAGTAGTTGATGATTATTTTAAAAATCAATGAATCACGATTAATCTGATTAATTATTTCAGCCCTGGTAACATGTAACCTTTGAGCCACGTATAACCTTACTTTGAGATCTACTAAATGACTTCTCAGATCAACACGTGTGTTTTGTATCAGTGCTCCATGCAGACTGTCCTTCTCTGAAACAAATGCGTAACTTGATTGAACCAGAGCCCTGCTGTACAACAGTCTGAATTCCCCTTAAGGAATGGAGCTAACTAAAATAAAAGTTGTAAGGGAAAAAAATTGTATGTCCTTTAATCTTATCAAACCTATTTTTGGTTCGCTGATGTAGGATTTATTCTTTACAAGTAACTCCATGACTTCTCAATCTGCTGGTCTAAAGTGGTCTGTTCCACTTCCAAAACATGGAGGGAGATTGTTTAATTTTGCAACAGTGCAGTGAAGTAGGCACCAAGCGTGAAAGTTACAGATGTAGCGCACCTTGGTAGCTAAAAATGACATTGTCGCTGTAAGAGTTGCAACCTATAAATTTGTTTTTTATCCAGTTTAACTATGTTTGGGGTGTTATTCAAAGACGAACTGCAAAATGTTCAGCCACATATTAAATGTTAGTTGAGAAATACCACAAATACCTTATAGTGTTGGAAATGCGTCTCTATAAACTATCGAATCAGGGGACAAGAGAAATAATGCACAAATAATTCACATGCTTAAACATAACATTGTATGGATCTGTTACATGAATCTGTTTTAGTATGGTCATTTTATAAATCAATAATTTAAAAAAAATCTATTTTATTTATGTTATTTAATAGTTGAGCAGTAAAACTGTAGTAGATCAAGTTGGAAGTGTTATTTTTAGTCAGAAATCCCTTCTAAATTTTTTAATTAATTAATATAACTGAGGTTTTTAATCAACAATACCAGACTAGATTAATAAAAAATCACAACATTGTTGCTATCTATTCCATTTTCATTGCAAATATTTAATCCTTCTGTCTTCATCTCTTCAACATTTATTGATTTTCACATATCGAATTACAGCATGCTTCAATTGCCCTGTGGGATCCACTGCAGTCTAGTGTTAAAAGACAGTTTGCTTTTCCCATCAGCTTCTCCTCCAGACTTCGCAGGAAACATCCTCAGAGCTTTGCTCAAAGCCAAAGCAGGAACAACTGTGGCTTTGGACTGCAAGCCCCTGGCCTATCCCACAGCAAGCATTTTGTGGAAGAAGGGGAATCTCCCTATTCCTATTCACACCGATGACAGGTAATCACAGAAACCGGTTACCATTCCTCCCTACCATGTAATCAGGATGACATTGGCATTTTTTCTCACGCTCTGCTCTCTTAGTGTGATCAATAATGACTCCTGATGCAAACACTGATTGACTATATCTTCATGTAAATGTACAACACAGTAAAATGAAATTATGGTGTATTTATTGATTAAATGTTGATTATACAAGCCTCAGTGGAAGCAAGATCTTTACTCCTGGCTTTATCTAAGATCTCAAAATAAGGAGTGATATTTTTTTTCTGCAAATGCAAATTGCATGTGCAATTAGGGGTTTTGTTGCAGGGGATCTACAAAGACTCCATGAGCAATTAACAGGGGCAAAGGTAGTGTGGCCCTACCTTTAAGAAAGTGGATTTCATGTGTATACCAGGTATTTGTAATTCACATCCACACTGATTGTCTTATGTTAATGGATTTAATTAGAGCCAGCACCCAAATTTTTGCGTTTGCACATTTTGGACGTCCATAACGCCATTGGTGTGAAAGCAGCATTAGTCATTCTCAAGTTCCCCACAATCTCTTTGGTTTTCATTTCGCTGACTCAATTGTCCAACACTGTCCTACTCTCACTTTCCTTATCACTAGTAATGCATCCAACCACTGCTGAGTCAGCAGAAAATTCCTACAGATAGCAGGTCTCCTTGCAGTGGTCGAAATCTGTGGTGTAGTAGAGAGTGAAAAGAAAGGGAGACGGGACAGTCCCCTGCAGCTGGGAGGTGTTGCTGACGTTTCTCTCTTATGTACACTGCTGTAGACACACTGAGGCCTGCCAGTCAGATAGTTCTTCTTGTCAGTACCTCAGCCAACAGTGATAAAAAACTTGAGAAATAAAACAAAACCATGATTTTCACAGAGTCTGAAAACACCACCCTAGCTGGGAAGGTGACAGCATCATGTGTGGTGATTGTTTTGCTACAGAAGGACCTAGAATCATAATTTTGCATTGTCAGATTGATATGTAGCTCAATATGAACAGTATCCTTCTGGAAAGGCTTCTGTGAAAAGTGTTTGCAAAACGGAGGGAGATTCAGTACAATTCTTTGAGCTGATTGAGTGAATCACCAAGTAGTACCTGCCTCCCATATCAAGCATTTAGCCAATCACGGCAGCAATAGCAGCTATGCTGTATCACATTCTTGATTTATATCACAACCAGCGGAGTTAACTGATAAATCAAACATCTTTCCTATACACAGAGGCACAAAAGTTGTCCTTTTTGTTTGTTTTTGAAAAAAGAAATAGAGGGTAGACCAGCTAAATCTAGTGCAGCCATGTTTGATTTGCCTTAGCCAACCTCTTTTCAATCGCTACATTTCATTGGTCTGAAACATTCAGTATTTGAGGCTAATGGATCTACTGGCTTCTGGCAATATGCTGTTTTGCGAGTTTGTGAATTCACACATCTGTCAACAACTCATCTTGCTTGCAATGTAACTGGAAGCAATCTTGGAAAAAAAAAATGTCTCCAAATGGGGCAGTCACTCTGATATTACCAGATTGTTTGTACAGTTTAATTGACAAAGATTCTAATGTTTTGAGAGGGCTATCTTAAAGCCTTCCACACAGGGCTTCTTAAGCACCAGTATACAAAGAATCATCCTCGCTGTATAAGGCTACATTCACACTGCAACCTGAAGTGCATCCTGTGTATTTCCATGACAGCCAGAACAACACAGATCTGATTTTTTCCAATGCGACCCAGGCCACTTGGCTATGTGGTCCTGAATCCAATACATATCTGATCTTTTCAAATGCAACTTGTGTCTGAACGTCCATGTCGCATTCATCTGACCTGAACGTCATTAATACGCAACAAAGGTTACTATTCTGCGTCTTGCTATGCAGAAGCGGCAAGAAAAACAACAACCATGGTGGATGATAATGCAGAGAGTAGTAAATATGTTTAAAAATCTTGAAAAGATTGTGTTTTTCGCTAGATGCGCTCCAGCACTACCATTAATGTCTGCATCCGTAAACACAGAGTCCTCTACTGCGCATGCAGGACACTTACCTTGTAAGAATGCAGTTCACACAGGAGACAAAAAAAAAAATCGGATTTCACAAAAAAAATCGGAATTGAGCATTAAGGCCTGCAGTGTGAACATAGCCTAAGCCAAGTGCAAATATTTAAATAAACATCGGAATTTTAAGTAAGTTATGAAATTACCCAAAATACTTTTGGTGACTAACTGACGAAAATTAAAGCAAAAAAAAAAAAAAAAAAATCCAACTGGTATACAGTAGTTATTTAGATTTTACTCTTTTTACTGAGTAAAATAGTGCTGTTAAGCTAAACTATGTTTAGACATCTGGTATCAACGTTGTTATTACTGTGTGTTTCCCTCCACCTGTATAGGATCACGCTTTCTCCCGATGGAACTCTAAGGCTTGCAAATGTGAGTAAATCGGATGCAGGCAGTTACACGTGCTTCGCCAGGAACAGATTTGGGATGTCAAGCACAACGGGAAGGCTCCTGGTTACGGGTGAGTTGTGCTATTAAATAAGCCTCCACTGAGTAAGCACAATTCACTGCTCGATATGCATCAGCACAAGAAGAAGCTGCTGCATTTAGGTCATTCACACACAAAAAAGGAATTTTGTAGCATGAAGCTTTTGCATATTTGGCAGCTCTGAAATTTAGTTTTTTTAGTTTCTGTTTGACAATCAACAGAAGCTTTGCAGCATGAAAAAGCTCATCTTTTAGGAGTTTTGTGAGGTTGCAGTAATCCACTCGGAACGTATTTGACAAAGTACTTGAACAGTGTTTTCCTCAAAGCAGCTGAAGCAACCAATTTACTGCGGCTAATGAAAGTGCCTTGAGTGGAAGCAATGAAAGCATTAGTGAGGTGGTGTCACAGATGCTGTTATTGTCAAAACGTGTGTTGTGTTTTGTTTTGTTTTTTTCTTTCGCCTCTGGAGGGACAGCTTAGTGTTGCCGGGGTTCTTATTGGTTTTGTTAATGTGCTGAATTATATTGTCTGCTGCCATAATTGCCAAGGCCAGTTATTTCTCTGAATGGCTCGAGAATTTCTCTTCGCTATAAACCAGTGCCGCAGAGCTCTGACCGAGACATTGATCCTTTACCAGCTTAGAAACAGCAGGTACCTTTCTTTCCTCTAAAACTTTTTTTTTTTTTTGCTACATCTTGACATTCAGAATAAGTAAGATGTAAGAGTACAAGTGCTCTTTCTTTGTGTTCCACCTTCTTTCTTTGATTCCCTCACTTTGATTATTTTGCCTTTTATGAAGCTCTAAATGATTGCTTTGGTAGATTTTAAAGCAACGCTCCTCGTTTTGGATACTTGATCTACACTGGAGCCTATTATGTGAAGCTTTATCTGATCAGCAGCGCATTGCAATTTCCATCAGGATTTCAGAAGATTATACAATCTGTGTCATCCTATTACCAATTCTAGAGGCAGCAGGCTGCATGTAATCACCCACTATTTGACTGGGACCTTTCTGTACAAAGACAACACAGCTAAGCCTGTGACTCACTGTTTTACAAAGCTTGTGTTCCAGAGAATGTTGCATTTCTGTTTCTCTTTCAGTGGATTCAAAAAAAGGTCGGCTCGTCCGTTTGCAATGAAACACCTTGTGTGCTTTTAAAGTCTGGCAGCTATCCTTCAGAATTGTACATTTTTTTTCTTTTTGTGGCAGATCCAACCAGAATTATTCAGGGACCGGTGGACATGGAAATCATTGTAGGGGAGAGCATTGTATTACCCTGCCAGGTGGCCAGTGATCCTGTCCTGGACGTCTCCTTCTCCTGGGCTTTTAACGGGCAGCTGATCACCAAAGGAGACGGCCACTTTGAGCTTGTGGGCGGCGTGAGTGACCCTTATTCAGAAGTGCATCGATTCTTCAAGAATTGTGACAGTAAAAAAATATCTCCAGTATTGCTAGTAATTACTTTGCACCAGTTATTTGTGTTTCCACTACCACAAACCCTGATTTTGGCACCAATCACCTAATCCTATCTTGGCTTCAACTTATACCTGAGTTGAAGCAGAGGAAAGAACTACCATCACAACATAGAAGCAGGGTCTTAAAGATTAAACACTGATCAAAATGTTTACAGTGTCATATCCAAAATCACTGATTTGCTTACAGTGGCTGTTTTTCCTTGAAACATTTCCAAGTCAGTTATTTAACACTATTAACTTTAAATGTCACCAGATAGTAAAAGTCTTGTGGTAAAAAAAGAATTTAACTGGTAATACCAAAGATCAGGCTGTCTGGATTGCATAGTACTGTTATCAACAACAAATAAAGAATAAATTAGATTGAAAATCAATCAGAATGAACATTTTGAGCTTCCTTCAGCACATTATAATAGAAAAGAGATAAGCCTTTTAGAGCAGTTAGCATTGGTAATTCTAAACAGCACTATTCCTGTTTATTTACAAAACAATGTGATAAATAAAAGTGAAAACACGTTTCTGTAAAACATTTAAATCCTACCTTTCAACTCCATTTTGATTAAACTTGTAGTCCTCAGAATAAGAGGCTGTTGGTAAAAAAAAAAAAATTGCCTCTTACAGTTTTATTTATTTTTGCTTTTTTTCCCTCTCCAGTATTCTGTTTACCAGTGTTTCTGCAAGTTTCAGTAAAATCTTCAGAAATGTTATTAAAATATTCGATAAGACCAAGTACATCACAAATTTACAACCTGCATCAATAATGAAAATAACAACGATGTTCAGTAATTTTTATTCATGAAGTAATTAAATTATTTAGATTGTTTTTTTGGCTCCAGTATTTAACTTAAATGCTTTAAATGCTTTTTCATTTAACTTTGCTTTTCCCCTAACTTCTCTGAACAGTAGTGAGAGTAGAAAGCATCATAACATTAATCGACAACAGTTTAACCCAGCTGCTAATCTTTTTTTTTTTTTTCAAAGTCTGTTTGAACCTCAGTAAAAATACATGACCTTGCAGAAGTTGGTAGCAGATCAGGTCACAAAAACATTGATTTCCATTACCCTAACATGCATAAGCCAGATTCAGAAACATTTTTGTGCGTGTTTGCACAAATAGTTTAATGTTGCTATAAAATCCCTTGCATTGGATTTTTTTCCCCTCACATTTCATTATGGGGGGAGAGGTGACCTCGTGGTTTGGGCAGAGGGTTTGGAATCCTGAGGTTGTGAGTTCAAAACTCGCACCCACAGACTGCCAGTCTGGGTGTCTGAGCAAGACTCTTAACCCCCTGGCGTTGCACAGTGGCAGCCCACTGCTTCCCAAAGGCGATGGATTAAATGCAGCGAGTTAATTTCTCCATTGTGAGATCAATACATTTCTATTTTTTTTTTATTTTTTTATTATTCCTTAATGGCTATTTTATTATTACTTACAGCCTTGTGTTAAACACCACTAAATTGCTTTTCAAAACAATTAAAAAGGTCAAATTAAAGAAGCAAAAAGAAGTACAAATTTAAGACCTTACTAAATTAATAGTTATCTAGATGTTCTGACCTGGTACGATTTAAACATTACTTAGATATAAAGAGTAGCTGGATGAGTCTTTCTTTTGCAGTTACAACTTCCAGAACAAAGTGTGCTAATGTTTGTGCCATCCTTTGGATCAAAGTTAAGATTTACTCTCTAAGTCGAAACTGGACAGAACCCCAAAAAGGGGAGAATGAACCAGTTCTGGTCACCATATCAGTCCTTGGTGCATCTCTTTGCAGATGCTTCCATTTTAAATCTGCAAATGGACATGTGCTTCACAGCATCTCTGCCATTTCTAAAGAGACCAGTTTATGGTTCTACGTGGGTTTCTTGGAAGTATTAACAGTGACCGGTATTACTGCAGCCAGTGTAATACTATCCAGTTTGCAACTTTAAAAGTGTCCTCTGAGGCATAAAAACCCTGTGCGCTTAGGAGAAAATCTATGAGAGAAAGTGCAAATAGATTATTGGAGTTCTATGTGCCGGCAATTGTATTTCTGTGAATGGAAACAAGTCAGTCCCTATGCTGAAATGCACTTCCCATATAAAATTCATTTTGTAGGTAATGTGCCAGGTGTTCAGCCATTGTGACAGGTGGAAGTCATTTTAAGTAGTCTTCTTCAACTCCAGCTCAGTCTCAGCTCAGCTCATCTACTTTTTAATAAGCTCTGGCTCGCCTTGAATTCTGCTTTGACATGGCCTGCTGCACAGCCTCATGTAACAGGAAGTGGATGCACATCATTAGATGTGTCTTCTGAAGGAATCAAAGCGTGGAAAACACCCAAAAGACTAAACACTTTCTGTACATCCTCACACCCTTGAGACCAACCAATCTTCCTGAGCGTGTCTCACTGACAGTGTTCTTATCTGAATAGAGATTCCTTACCCAGTCAAACCAGAATGTCTCCACTGCAAAGAGATTATCAACTAAACTTTGCTGCTTCGGGGAGTTTCATTTCCATCATTAAAACATGTTGGCTCTGTGGCCAATTTTTTTTCTTGTTTCACTGCAAATTCCTATAGAACAGTTTCCTCATCAATTTAGTTTTCTGCTTACCGGTGTCCTCTTAGATGTGAAAAAAAAAGTGTCCTTCTTTCATATCACTAAGAAAGAACCTACTAAATTCTTTTTTGTTATTATTTCCTAAATTCTTCTTCTTTTTTTATTTTTAAAGGACAGCTCATGACCTCTAGAAGTATTTCACACTGAAACCTTGTCAGTTAAAGAGACAAAAGTCTCTCAATTTTTTTTGTGTAAATTCTCCCCTTGCTACTTTTCATTCCAGCTTGATGTGATGTGCTCTGATTAGAAATTTGGTTCAAAAGCCTCCCCCCTTAAAACCTGCAAATGTTCACAGTATCACTATTTACTGAACCTTACACATGCTTCAGTACTTTCCTTAATAAGATGCCCCAGGGTCTGTTATCTTTCATGCTACATAAAGCCTTCTCTCCTCCTTAGCAGAGAACAGCCGGAGATCTGATGATCAGGAACATTCAGCTATACCATGCCGGCAAATATATCTGCGTAGTGGACACAGATGTGGAGAGCCTGTCAGCCGTAGCTGTATTGATTGTGAAAGGTAAGAAAACCTTCCCTCTGCTTGGCACCCTTTAATTAAAACAGGGCTTGCAGCCAAGAATTCCTAATTAGTTTCTCCTTTTTATAAAGAAAAAAAAAATCCACTCTTTCCTGTAATGTTATTGATAGAACGAGTTAAAATGAAAGGATATCTCTTGCTTGTAACAGTTGCCAAAAGGTAGGCTGTCTTTTTTTAGGAATTTTTTCCAGTGCCAAAATGTCAAGTGGAGCTTTTTGAAGTGAATATTCTTAGCTTATTGAGTTAAGAAAAAATATTTCTTAATTTTAAATCACATACCTGCTTTTTGGAAATTTGGTGTAAGATGAACTAAATTGAGGAGTCATGCTACACACTAGGGTTTAAAGTTGCATATGCCTATAAAAAAATAGACCAAAAACATTTTGATCATGATAAAATAATGTTATACACACACCAGGCGTCCGTCCTGATAAGGTAACCATAGTAAGCACCAGGGGCATTCAGCAGACATAAACAGACGTAGCCTCAAGAAGTAAAAGCTGTTTTGATCACTTTTTTATTCACACTAGATCTTGGACTTTCATTGTTTTCACACTTTAATGGGGGGGTTTCTAACTGGTGGCTGTGAGCTACGTCCTTGTTTAGCACTTATGCACATGCACAGTATCCTAGCGCCGTTATTATTGTAAATTAACACAAAGGGGTTTATTTGAGCAAAAACAAAGCGGAGTAAAGATGAAGGAATCTTTCAAAATAAAAATTTTGTATGCAACCAGAGTGAGCTCCCGGCATATAAATTACAAAAATGGAAAAAAGCTTATAACTCGACTAAGTGCCTTTAATATTTATAAATTGAAGTAATTATTAATAAAAAAATAACTACAACTATTAAAGGTATTGTGGAGGATTTTCTCGAATAATTTTCTTTTAAATTTACACGAGAGGGCATGCACGAGCCCATTTCTCCATGTTCATGCCCTGTTTAAAATGTGCTGCTCTCATAGCTCATACAAGCTTACTGTTCCCAAACATCTGCCCTAACCCCTAAATCCTATATAGATCACTATATAGAGCAGGGACTTTATAGTGGACTTTATAGTGAACTCAGGTAACAGAACGTTTGGACAGATGATCACTACTTTTTTCTCCCTGTTGGTCACGTAACTTCTCCTCTTTGTCATTAGTCGCCGCTGTCGGTTAGCGACAGCCTATGGTAACAGCAAATCTTATAATGCTTTGCGAGGAGAGCTCTCTGTGCAAAGCATTGTGGGATATATCAGCCTCTTCTGAGGCCTTTCTTTTCTTCTCATACGCTTCGTAGACACCTTTTCTCTTATGAACCTTGGCCATTTTCAAAGAATGCAGTGAGAAAGGTGAGCTTAAATAAATGTCTGAAACTGTGGCCTACCACAAATATACGCCCGTAAGTGTGCATGCACATATCACCAGAATGATTGACAATTAGGAAAACCACTTATTTAGATGATCCACCCGGAAATAAAAGGTCATCCTCTACTCCTTTAGGGTCGAGTATAATAGACAGATTTTGCACTGAAAAGACAAAAGGTACACCACATGATGTGTATGATGCATGTTCAAACTTCTTTGTCCTGGATGTTCTTCTGTTTTATCAATGGTCTCATTGCAACAGATTTTCTCAGAGTTTAGGAGCATATAAATCTTTTATCAGAGTGTAACACGATGCTGTAGAACACCAGCCATTGGTGCTATTTAAGTACCTTACAGTTAGGAAACTTTGCATGGGGTTTAGAGTTGAAGACTTTTTTTTTTTTTTATAGCAGCAGCTTTTTTTAATCCCTTAGCAGTTTGCCAGTGAGGAGGACAATCTTTAGCCCTGATCATTAACAGCAGAGATAATATATGTAAGGAACACAAGTATTCATCATAGTCCAGGTAACTTGTTGATGAATGATTTTTATTTGCATTTGCTTAATCTGAGCATGAAGTTATAAAATCAAGAATCACAGCGATACATTGTGAGTACTCATAGTTTGAACCCTCTGAATTTCAAGTGATAGGATGTCAAAGTATTTAATAATTTATCCTCTTTCGGCTTGGAAGTTGGATTTTAACAGTTTCAAGCCTTAAAAATTTCTATAGATCATTGTTTGAAATTTTAGCTGCTTCTTCATCAATCTGAAGTGCACATTCAGTACAGCTTTTGCAACCTTAATACATTGTAAAAGTTCTATAAATAAGTTTTATATGAATTTCTGGCAAGTTGTATATTACTCAAGCAGTAGCATACATAGTGATGGGGCAATATCTACTTTGAGAAAGTCCCTGTAGTATTTTTTGATTCAAAGAGTTAAAAACGATCATCTTGTTTTTCTAATTGTATTCAGCCTAGGGTGAAGGACAACAAATAGAAAATCTAAACTCGGATCACACAACAAGACAATCGTGCCAGTCTCTTCCCTAATGTCCCCCTTCTAAGAGACCTTGATATTAGTGCCTCTCACCCTGATTATCGGGGAGATCATCCTGGTGTGTGTGGTGTGTTCAGCTCTGCTCAGGAGAACATTGGGACCACTCATAAGAAAATCCAACATGTTAGATTATCCTGATATCCATGTGTGTGTAGTGTCCTCAGTCAAGCATGTTCAAATCTGATGCTGGATTTAAAAATAATCTCAGCTTGTATTGCTCAATCTGGCACATTACCCAATCAGAAGTTTATGCAGAAGCCGACAGGGAGATGCACCAAAGCCATGATCTCCCAACCTGCAGAGATATCATCATAAAGCAATGAAAGTAAACAAGAATTATATATAAAGAGGTTACACTTCACTTTATATATAATTCTTGTTTACTTTCATTGGTTTACTTTCAAGAGGTTACACTTAACTTAGGTTTACTTGAAAAGCTAGGAGAATGTATTTTTTCAAGTCTAAAGAAAAGTGAGTGGGCTCTGGGGATTCATGGATAAAAGAGCATGCAGCTTTCATTCTAAAAGTGGGCAGTGTAGAGAATTCTGCGGCAGAAAAAAAAGGCCGATGTATAAAACCGTGAGTATACGTGTTACCATACACCCGGACTTTATAAATCTCAAATCTCGGAGAATCAAATGCAGCTGGAGGAACTGCTTGGAATGCCCAGTGCTCACGTACAAATCATTTGTAAAGTAGTAGAAAGAGCCGGAATGCAGCAACGGTGCATCAAAATAACCATTGACAATAATGCTTCCATGCTGTGGCAGAGAGTAACACACCTCAGGGAGATTTATTACAGACAATCAAGTTATGTTAATGACATCAGTGACTCGCTGAAGCAACCAGCTAAAAGAAAAATAGTCTGCAGGTTCCCTTTTTTTTCAGTTTTTATAGAGTTCAAAAGGTGCTCTCTAGTTGCTCGATGGAGCTAAAATTTAGCAACATTTTTTATTAATGTATGGTTTAACAAATAATTAAGACGTGAATATGACCCCCTTTTTTTGTAGGAGCCACCATTCAAGCACCTGAAGCAGGCTACACTTAATATTTAAAAGTATTAAGGTCCCCCCCCCCCATTGTTATATTGTAGCTGCAAAAAAGGAATCCTTGGTTGAGCGCAGTGTAGGTACCTGAACCGCTTGGTTGGTCAGATCTGCTAGGGCTCTGCACATGCCTGTGACGTTCTGCTATATTATTGGCTTAACATTGCCACATGACCTATACATTGTGGTTGCCCAGACAAAGATAATCTTAATATCGTTCTTATCGATCTTAATAAAAAGAATAAGAAGAGACACTGAGACTTTTTCTGTCACCTTGTTAAATGGCAGAGCTCAGTCTATCTTAGAAGGCAGTGCTTTCCTTCAAGACTGAGAAAGATTGTTTTCTTTCTTCGGCTACTTTAGATGGCCAATGAAACATAAAATAGTAGCAAATATAGGTAATAGTATGTTAAGACTCCAAAAGAGATTTGATTCTTAAGAAACGAGAAAGGGGCAGGGCCCCGAGTAGATCTGACCACCCGAGCAGATCTGGTACCTACACCGGCCAATGTGCCACTATAAATACACATTTCTGCAACACATTTGTTGTAGCTTTGCTGCCATTTGTAAATGGCCTCCTTGATTCAAACTGGGATTTGATGTGTATCCTTTTTAAGCACTCCTTCTGGGAATTTTACATATCTTTACAACATACAGGTATGGCCGTCATGGGGACGGCTCAAGATGACTTTTAAACACTCAACATGTCAATCATCACCTTCAAAAATAAACACCTGTTACACAGAGGGGTAGTTACATTTTAAAATGGCATGGATACACGCTTCCTTAGCGCCCCTCTTTGACAATGAACAATTTAAACCAGCAAATAAGACAATCATCATCATTTACCTATAGGTTAGCAGCATCTTTAAGCACACACAACCCTCTGCTTTACTCCCCTGGTAATGTCTTCCAAGCAGTGCCAAGGTTGACCAGCATCAGCAGAGTTATCAATCACCAACCAAAGAAATTGTCTTTGCTCATTGAAATGCTAACCAAAAGTAGGGTGGATCTGACTTCAGTGATATAAACCACAGGTTATAACACAATGGTACCTTTATTAGCTAATAATGACACACAATAACTACATAAACGATAAACCTCCCTGAAAATAAGCACAGGTAAATAAAAGCAAATAAACAGGAGAAAAGGTACGTTCAAGAGTCTCTGAGGAATGTTCAATACGTGCCTGGTTCAGACGCGCAGTCCGGGCACCCCATCCATTCATCCAGCAGGTAGCTCTGGAAGAGACTTGAATTATTCAGATGTTAACAGCAGAATGAAACTTTGCAGTGCTTAACTTTGTAACGCACAATAGCCTCGTCCACGGGGGCCCCCTTAAGGCAGCGGATAGCTTGTAGCAGCGGCTCAGACGGCAGCAGCACAACTACAAACAGCTTCTGAATCAACAGCTCACAGTGTCATGTTTCACAGTTCAATGCAATAAAAGAACCAGTGTTGCATTCGTCGGACGCCCCTAGCGGCTTCTCGGCAGACAGCAATTGGGCCCTGCTATTATGTGGGT